CCCTTGAGCAAGGCCCTTAACCCCCACCATCTGCTCCCCCGGGCGCCCTAGATAGCAGCTCTCTGCTCCACACAGAGGCTGTGGTAGCTCAGTGTCTGTGGTTGAGTCAGGAAGGACATCCAGCGGAAAAATAATTCCCAAGTCTTCGCGTGACTCAGTTCGCTGTGGTGACCCCTGAAGAATGGAGCAGCTGAAAGGAGGAAAAAAAAGCTTTGCAACGTTCACACTGTCTCTGGGACATGACTCTCTCACACATTTCACACATCTATACTTTAATACAAGCAGATTTACTACAGAGAGAATATTAATGATGACGCACAGCAACTTTGTAGTTAGTTTATAAAATTAGTTAACCACAAAGAGGATCGTTAGTGTGTTAATTCATTAAAGTAAATGACACGAGGGAGACACGCATTGAATGCATCGCTCTGCTTCAGCACAGCAGAGTTCTGCTCCAACTCTCTGGTTCTGATGGACCGGATTAATTTCTGAAAGCTCACCTCTGAACAGGACATAACACTTTGATTTATGAACCGTTTTGAGTTGTGTTCACTACATCGTTGTCACATTACAGACAGTCTGACGGAGTCAGCGACGGCAGTGGAAGATAAAAGTTAGCACTTTAGTGTGAGCGTCGAGTAATTAAAAAAAAAATCTGTTTAGCAGTTTAGTGTTAGCAAAGCTAATTTTTTTGTTATTGAATTAGTGGTTAGTGAAGCTAACTTCTTGATTAGCCGTGCCCACCACTGAATGTTCAGTAATGGAGGATAAATTATACTTTTTACACGAGGTATGCCTGTTTTATTTTTAGGCTTGGACTTGTAAAGTTCTGCTTTGATCACATAATGAAACTGATTTCAGAAAACTACGAACATAAACGCTCCTGAGAAACTTTAAGATTCCTTCTGCAGAGTTTACATCAACTACACCAATAGGTTGGGTGTCTTTTACATGAACCCTAAACTTTTGATGTGCTGAAAAGTTTTTGAGCCAAGATATTGAATAAAAACCTTTCTTCTAAAAAAAAAAAAAAAGTCTGTCTGCATAAAATTTTGTAAAAACCATATAAAATTGCTGCAGGTTTAAATGTGGATGTATTGTATAGAATTAGTGACGTATGAGTGTGTGAGAATACGCAATTGAGACACACATTTTGATCGATATGGAAAATATAATTGTTGGACAATTATTTCTTGCATGGCCTGTTTAATGTTTGTTTTTGTTTTATAGATTTCCAAACTCTGAGCACAAAGATCTCCAGGAGAACATTGGATGGGGCGAAGGTAACTCTTGAACAGATTGAGCAAACGGACTCTGTCTTAGTGGAGAACGTGCACCCTGGCACCACACCAGACCTGCTCACTTTGTACTTCGAGAGCGAGAGAGGTGGGAGTCAGAAGGTTAAGGAGGTCACCGTGCTTTCAGAGGGCACAGTAAAAGTGTCTTTTGCAAAGTATGAATGTAAGTTTTTCACTTTGGGACCTTTAGAACTGTTGTTTGAGTTTACTTGTTAAACAAAATGTATTTTTATTCCCGACAGCTGTAGACTGCATCCTTGATCGTCCACATCGTCTCAACGATGCCAAACTTGTAGTGAAGCCTTATTTCGACTTTCTTCAACCAGCCCAGAGTTCAGCATCGAAGGTCTTTAACATTGAAACCCAAGATGTAATGGAAAAGTGTTCTGAGGACCAGAACGATGTTCAGATGCCGACCAGTTCCCCCCTCGTCGATGCTGACCCTGACCAGTCCTCACTTGCTGGGAGGTCTGACAGCAGTCGATCACCCTCTCAGACTGGGTTGGAGATTCTTATTGACAGTCAAGAACAGGAAGCAGAGGAGGTCATGGAGGACCAAACTGACAGAGCAGAAACATTATCGTGCCATGTTGCTGTCACAGACCCAGTAAAATGTGCTTTGTTTCAAAGCAGCACCTTTCAACAGGATGTGCAGAAGGACAACCCAAATTGTAGCATCCAGAACAAAGATGATGGCGTGTACATTGAAGGCCCTAAAAAGCTTCAGCTAGAGCAACTAAAAGGCGTGATCTCAGACTTTTTCGGAAACATGGTAGAACGTCATTTCATCCTTGAGCTGGAAAAAGCTAGCTTCCTTGACAGAAAAGATGTGCGAGAGCGTTTATTACAAACCATAAATCAAACTGGATTGTCTTCTTTGTACACTGTGTCAGACTCTACCGTCTCTGTAACATCCTTGTCCCAAAACTCTGCCGACCAGACGTGTAGCTTTTTAAAATCCCAGGTGTGTTGCTTCAGCATGCCTGTGGAGAAGGAGCATGAGGGCATGGTATACTGCAGAGAGTTGAGCGAGTTCCTGCAGTCTCTGGATTTCACCTCTGCAAAGGTGTCACAACAAGGAGGGAATATTGATGTTCTAACTTTGAAAGGAATGGAGGGTGAGAAACAGGCTGCAATCACGCAGTTTCTCTCTACACCCATTGAAAGGGAGACGGTCATCTGTATGGAGCCAGGCATGCTGAAGTACATCCAGATACATTGTCATCAGCTGCTGGCTGACATGGATCAAGTGTCAATTTTTCCACTTGAGGCTGAAGATGCTTGTGGATTAAAGGTATCGAAATATTAATTTTGTTTCAAACCTGTTATTTGTTTTGGATTTTAAATTGCAAACCTTCTAACTTCAAAGCTCATTTTCTTTTAGATCCATGGCCATGCAGTTGCTTGCCAAATGGCAGAAGAGGTGTTACAAGGTGTGGTCTCCTCTATCTGCACCCGAACCATCAAAACAAATGCTCCAGGAGTGGCTCGATTTTTAGACGAAAAGGAGTGCAGGAGCATCATTAATGAGATGGAGACCAAGTTTCAGGTCTACATCTGCCCAATTTATGTGCCCTGGGAGCCCCCGCCACACCAGGTAATAAAAGAACAGGAATAAATAGTTTGCAATCCTGTGACTTTTGGTGCATTTAAAACTTCCGGGGCTTCCCCTCATCTGACCAGTTGTACTTGTTGCTCATCATCCATTCTGAAGAGGTGTTTGCCTTGAGGCATTTTTTTTACAGTGTAGCTTGAGGCAGTCTTCCAGCACTGCTGTTCAGTTTTTCTGACCGAGACACACATACAAAATGCTTTTTCAGTGCATTTTTATTCAGCTGCACACATGTTACCAGCAACATTTTTGGATATGTTTACTAATAAATAAAAAGCTTTTAGTGGCGATGCAGTCTAAATTGTACAGCTTTTAGGTTCACATTAGTCTTATTTGATTCATGCCACTGTCTACAGCCTTTGATCTGTTTGGTCAACCATCAGATTGCCCCAGAGGTCATAGTACCATGTTTTTTTTCATTCAACCTTTATTTATACAGGTTAGTTCCCTACTGACCCTCAAGGACTCATTTACTAGAGAGACCTGTTGCATACAAACATGCAGAGTAAATGAGGAAACGAGAGCATGAGGGTGGAGGAAGTAAAAAATAAAATAAAAAATCATGTCTCGCACCATGTCCTGGCCAGGGCACAGTGTAAAAGATGCCAAAAAAAAAAAGACCTCGCAACATGCAATGACATCATAATACATTTATGCATGAGGAGTTCAACAATGGCAGTGAGTTGTCCGTGGACACTGCCAGAAAGTTCCAAAGTTCTGATAAGATGGTACAGTCTATTAGCGGCACAATTCTGATAAGGCTTACAGATGTCCTCGGGGGGGGGCAGCAAAGCGTAATTATTCACATAACCTCTGGGAGAATTTGAGATAGCTGACCTATTCAAGACCAAGTGGGGGAGCCAGAATTGATAACATATGTTTTGAGACTGGCAGACTCTGCTTGATTTTTTATGTCTGCCTTCAAAAGTTCTGCTGGTATTTCTCAATGGCAAATCCAAAACAGCCAGATGTGTGGTCATTCCACCAGGCCATGCTTGAAGCCTTACCCAAGATTGAAACCTTCATGCCAACGAGTTCTAGAAGATGTAAGTGGCCTGCGATTCTCAGAAATTGTGTCCAGCTTACGGCTTAGCTCGAGAAGCAATTGAGTCTGGGCGTTCGAAGAGCGGCACATTCCTTCACACAAGGCGGGCAGCTTTACTATTGTCAAAACTGCTGCCAATGTCTTCCTAATTAGTCGATATCCCAGGTATCCGCAGATTCCAAAAAGCAGAAATCCTGTTATGTTTCCAATTATGTATGAGTCTTCTACGTCCTCAACAGACAGCATAGACAGGCCCATCATCTTCCCAACACCCCAGGAATCCATGACATATCCAGCTGCATGTGTCCCTTCAGGGCATGAGGGTTCTCCTGAACCGTCTTTTGGTCAAAAGATTTTTATCAGTTGCGTTGAGAGACCAGCTGACCAAATCCATGATTTACAGTTTAGAAGGTATGCAGAGAGAGGCTCTGAAAAAGGTTCACAGGACAAGAAAGCAAAAACCAGGAGGGAGGCAGGGCACTCTATTCTGTTAACAGGGCGGGGTGCCCTCCTTGAGTAATGGTAGGGGAAATACTGTCATGAAGGTTGATTTTTAGCATTTAGTGAATTGGTTAATGAACATAGAAAGTGAATCAATTCAAGTTTTCCTGAAGTGCCAACAAATATTGATAACAGCATAAATATTTCTGGTATTCCAGGATATTTTTGAGGCCGCATGGCACATGATGTCTCAGAAAAACTTCCAGAAGTTATCTGTGGATGGCTCTGCTCAAGATGTGAAATTGGATTCAGTGCAGACAGACTGCAATGGTACTTCAAACAGAGGTAGTCTTTTTTTTTTTTCCCCCATCACCAGTTCGTTTTATTTGTTTTTTCCCCTACATTTATAAACACCTTTTGTGCTCTTCCAGGACTTTTCGACGGGGCAAACAAAGCGCCCACTCCAGGCCAGCTTGAGCTGGATGATATGGATCTGTACACAGCAGAAGAACCAAAAGACCTGACAGACCAGGTATCCGATGGGAGAGCTGTTGACTCTTCTCAGTCCTCAGCAGGTCAGAGTGCTGCAAGTGGATCACTTCTTTGGACTGATGGAATTGCAGGCATCAGTAGTGACTTGGAAGAAGAGGCCCAGCTTTCTTTAGCTATCCAATATTCTTTGGAGTCAAGCCAATGCTTCCTGAAAGATGACGAGGAACAGCTTAGAAAAGCTTTGGAGCTGTCTAAACAACTGATCCTAGATGAACACACCTCTGGTATTACTGACAAGACCCCCTCATTAGATAAACAGGAGAAGAAAACTGTTGATATCTCTTTAGAAGACTCATTAAAAGCTGCCAACACCATTGAATTAAGTGTGTTTGCGGGTTATAGCTGTGACCTGATTCGGGTGGACATTGCCTTTGGTAAGAAGGTGAGTCAAAGGCAAGTGGAGGAGAAACTGGAGCACAGAACCATAAGGCACATGACTGATTACCACCGTAAGTGTTTGGAGATGATCAAACGGAAACACGCCGTGGAGATTGAAATTCAGGGAACCATTATTGCGATTTCTGGCTTCAAAGACTATGTTGCCAGTGCCCTGTGTGATGCAAAGCTGCTGATAGAGAAAATCTCCAATTCTGTGTCTGACAAGGAAATCTTGAAAACTGTTCAGTGGGTACGACATGACCCCTCCACCTCTGACACAAATTCTTATTCTGCGGATGTGTCAATATTCATTGAGAATGCTTGGAGGATGAAGCTTAAGAAGGTTGAGATCTTGCTTGACAACCAGCCCCACAGTATCAGCTTTGACAAGATGCAAGAATATAACATAGCTTCAGGGAAGTCTGTGAAGATCTCCAGGAAGTTGATTGAATTAGGGGATGTGACCCAGGATGTACCAGGTAAATAGACGTGCTGCCTTAGGACCGTTTATGGAGCCGTGAGACTGACAAACTGTAGCAAAAGAGTTTTACACAAGTCAAAACTCTTTTTAAATACAATTTTGGTGTGGGCAAAAGTATGCTACAGTCGAGCAGCTGTGTCTTAAGTGATTAGAGCAGTGCTCCAAAGAATAAGTTGGAAGTTCAAATCCACATGTTTGACACATGTCAAAGTGTCCCTGGGCAAAACACTAAACCCCTCATTACCTCCGATGTGTGTCCCATCAATATATGAATGTGATCTAAAGCGGTCATTAGTCTGTATGGACAGATTTATTCAGATTAACTTTCTAATGACGTAATGAAGGGTAGTATGAATGTGTATGATGTTTTAATGAGGGCACAGATTGTGTTGTAAAGCCTTTTGTATCCTTTCTGGATAGAAATAATAATATGTGTTGTCATCATTGTATGTTCCCATACAATGGCAAAATTGTCTCTCTACATTTAACCCATCCACCCCCAGGTACAGCAGTGGGCAGCTATTGAAAGCACCTGGGGAGCAATTTGGGATGGGGTGTCCTGCTCAAGAGACACCCCGAGATGTGCAATGACTGGGGATCGAACCTGGGACTTTCAGGTCCCGAGTTGGCTGCCCTGCCTTTGCACCATCTCAGCCCCCAGAAAGACGCTATACCGTCCATTTACCATTTTAAACAACCAGACAGGTCCACCTTTGATTTAGTTTTGTTATCATCTTCAATACAGTTTCTCTTCTTGAAGAACAGGGAGATTTTGTATAATTTTATAAAAAATGTAAACTTGTGCAAAAACACTTAGTAGAAAATGCACCAAAAAAGGCGTTTGAACTAGTTTGAGCGATGAGGACCAGGGATAGGGATTTCAAGCAAAAACATTATTTTTGTTGGTTGGTAATTATTTGAATATTTTATTTTGAATAATCACGGCCTAAACACACGTTTATATTTCTTTACCTATTTGGACATAGTACTGACTTCTATTCATTTTATAAAACCTAACCCTGCCTATGCCCTAACAAAATTCGCACTTCAGCTGCAAGATGAACTTTTAACTCAAAATTTGCATAAATATTACGACCAAGCATAGGACCCCATAATGACTGCTGGTCCTGACAGGTGAATTTACCAGAAAGGGTCCTAAAAATACATTTTATTTACTTATTCAACTAGTGTTTGTTGTTGTTAGTCATATTTTTGACCCACATGGATGTTGTTGCTGCTCACCTTTTGTCAGTTTTGCTGCTCCATATACATGTTGATCATTTGTGTGACTGATTTAAAAAGGTTACTAACTGTACCGTTCAATAACAGAGGAGGAATACTCCCTGCTGGCTAACTTGCCTGAAGCAACGAAAGTCGACGAGGACTCCGATGAATTTCAGGAAGTGATTAAATGTTTCTACGAAACCATACAGGAGTACCACAACAAAATAAGAATCATACAGGTAAGACAACTTGTAACACGTGACATATTTGGCTCGCTCAGAACGAAGAAAATTAGTTGGAAGATTTGGGGCTTTTTAAAATTGAGGTCAAAATATTAAGAAAAAAAGTTTAACATTTTTAGCACAACATTGAAATGAAGTTATTATGGGATTAAAAGGGATCCCTAAAACCGTTGTTGACAAATGAATTGTTAAAGTTAAAACAAGCAGAAAAAGATCAAACTGGCTGAAAGCTAAAATCAACAAAACTTCCTAAAATGACCAAACCATTTGCTAAAAGCTCAAGTTAGCGTAACAGTTGCTAAAAACTATAATTATCACAACAGGAACTAAAAGCTAAACTTTGTAAGATGTTAGCTAGAAGCTAAAAAGCGCATAAGGAGACAAAAACAGCATTCAGAGAGCAAGGTGTTTGGAGGAAATGAAGACGTCTCCGTGTATTTCTACTGAGAGAACGTGCAAAGTTAAACGATTCAAAAAGTATAAATGTTACAAATTCTAATAGTCATAGCTCGCGATTGTTTATCGCTTTGATAGTTGAATGGTTAAAATGGCACTTTGTATGTAAAAATAGTTTGCAAGAAAACATACAGAAGAAAAGTTCATCCATCTATCCGTTCTCTTTTACCCGTTTCTTCCTTTTGGGTCACTGGGGTCATTGGTGCCCATATCCAGCAGCCACTGTGCGAGAGGTGGGGACACATGGATTGGTCTCCAGTCCATCACAGGGACACCGTCTAGTCCATCAAAGGAAACATTAAACCTGAAAATCAGTTGTTGCTGAATCAACAGGTGGTGTCAGTTCATCTGTTGTGACTGATGTCATGATAAAAACAGCACATCAAACTGGCTGAAGGAAATGCCGTGTGTTATTTTCTACTCTTCCACTGTAAATGGAATAGGGCGGCTCGAATCCACCAGCAGTCACATGCCGAAGTGTCCCTGGGAAAGACAGTGAACCCCTCATGTCTCTGATGTGTGTCCCATCAGTGCATGAATGTGATAAAGCTCTGATTAAACTTTATAAATCTAGTAGAGTGCTGTATGAATGGGTTAATGAGGACACAGATTGTAGTGTAAAGCGCTTTGAGTGTCTTCATAAGATAGAAAGGTGCTATTTAAGTACAGTCCATTTAAATGTGCACCCATAACCCTCTGCTGCATTAATGGAAAAGAACAAAAGCAGCAGGACAAATAGAGTTGAGTTCAGGAACATGTTTCTTTGAGCTTAGCGTTAAAACTCTTTCAGCTTTTTTTTCCCCCTCAACGTTTTGACTTTAATCACATTCCCACTTTAATCTAATACATCGTGATATGTTGCTGATAAAACTGAGCTTTATTCCCAGGTGGAGAAACTCATGAATCGGCTGCTGTACAATCAGTACAAGCTGAAGAAAGCGAGCGTGCTGCAACAGTCCACCCACCCAACAATCGAACGCACTCTGTTCCACGGCACCAGCGAGGCCAGTGTTAAAGAGATTTGTGTTCATGGATTCAACAGAAGCTTCTGTGGGAAGAACGGTAATCTTTAATACTCTTAATATTTGACTTGCACTCAGTTGACCATCTTAAATATCTCTTTCTAACCATGGAAATGTGTTCCCCTCCCCCAGCCACTGTCTACGGTCAGGGAGTGTACTTCGCCGTCAACTCTGCTCTGTCTGTCCAGGATCAGTATTCACCCCCCAACGCAGATGGATACAAGTTTATTTTTGTGTCAAAGGTTTTAACAGGAGACTTCACTAAAGGCACCCATTCAATGAAGACGGCGCCCCTAAAGGAGACGGGCGATATTCCCCTCAGATACGACAGCGTGACTGATGACATCACCAGCCCAGCCATGTTCATCATCTTCAATGACACGCAAGCTTTTCCAGAATATCTCGTCACATGCCAACGAATCCACCGCTGAGCGCAGCACGTTTCATTTGGAGAAAGGACTCTTCAGGTTTTAGTGTTTGTAATATGATTTAAAAGTGGTTTTACACGTTAAAGGGCTCCGTTTTTCAGTGCAGTTCGATCTAAAACGAGCTTTATCAAGTTTTTTTTAGGGTGTCTTTAGTTTCATTTCAATGGAAGAAAGAAACACAAAGCTCCATTTTTGTGAATATGTCCTTTAAGTTCATCGTGTCTTGTTGTGTGGTCTTCACAGTACTTTTAATTTGGTATATTAGTAAGCTTCGCTTTAGGGGCTGTTTTTCCTTCAAGTGGTGGTGCCACAGTTTTTTTCCACCTAAATAATGTATTACCCTAATTAATAACTACCAGATTGCTCTCTTGGAGGCTAAGCTAGTTTAAACAAAATACTTAAAATAGTTAATGTGGCAGTAAACACAAAGACCCCAAATAAAAATAAATAAAATTTTAAGTATTTGCTGCGGCGTGTTTACAGTACTTTTGTATCTCACCTGAACCGTGTGATAAAGAGCTTCTTCCAATCGAGAGCCCAAGCTGTACCTAAAAACAATTGAACTAACGATTGTTTCTTCCTTTTTAGTGTTTTAAGGGGAAATGGTCTGATCAAACAAAAGATTTACAACGTGGTATGAAATGCAATCAACCAAAAAAACAATAATTACAAGTTTTGATTTTGGGTGGTTCAGGTGAGCGGGCAGAGTTAAAAGATTATTTTTATATCTAGCTGTGCAGAGGCTGGGCATAATAATTATTTTGATAGTTTTTGTTTTTTTTTCTCCCAAGATTTTTGAGTTACTTATACTGTTGAGATTAACATGCTAGTTTTACTTGAGATAAAAATTAAACTTGTTAATATGTCAAATGAGTGGTTCTTGTGTAGCACTCCATTTCATCGTTCGTAATAATGTCAGTCCACTGATCCATGATGGATGCTCCTTGGTGACACGTTAAGCTTGAATCAACCAAGATTACTCCAGATTTCTAATGAAGTAGGCTTTTCACTGTTTTGAAATATATATATATATATATAAAATCAAAACTATGAAAGTAAAAGTAATTTTCTAATCTTGTCCTTTGACTTCTGTATGATTCAAATGTTAGAAACATAAAAACAAGCTTCATCCAAAGGTTCACTTAATAATAGTAAATCTACTGAGGAGCTACATTTTGACATGTTTTTGACATTTTGGTTCATTAGATTCGTTTTCTGTTCTTTAGCATTAATCACAACTGTGCACTTTGATGGATTTTTTTTTTTAATCAAGTTTTGCGTTCAGCTTTTTGATTTGCAATTGTCTTCACAGTTTTACTACTTGTGAGCATAAACAGCAATGCTGGCTGCCGATAAAATTAATTTAAAAAAAAAAGGTGCCTGGTAAATTTTACAAGTGCTCTTATCACAAGTTTTTGTGTTTACTCAATTCTGTAACTAGTTTTTGAAATGTGTTTATCAAGTTTTTTTAAATAAATCTGCTTCCAAGCATGACTATTTTAAATAAAATAATGAAGATGTTCTGTGCTTGTGATTTTAATCCCTTTTACAGAAAAAATTAAATAATTGATCATTTATTTTTAAAGTGTGAGTGGCACGGTGGCTCAGTTGGTAGAGCTGTTTCAGCGAGAAATGCCGCTGGATTGAATCCCGGCCCGGGGCCTTTCTGGGTGGAGTTTGCATGTTCTCTCTGTGATGAGTAGGTTTTCTCCGGGTGCTCTGGTTTCCTCCCACATGCATGTTAGACTGATTGGTAACTAAATTGTCCCTAGGTGTGAGTGAGGGTGAATGGTTGTCTCTGTGTCCCTTTGATGGACTGGAGACCTGTCCAGGGTGTCCCCAGCCTCTCACACAGTGACTGCTGGACACCAGTGACCCCCGCGACCCAAAAAGTAAGAAGTGAATAAAGATAATGGATGGATGGAACTAAAGTGTAAAGTTCCATTCATCTGTCCTTCCATCTCTTCAGCTTGTTCCTGAGCCGGGTCATGATAGCTTTAACTGGGAGGCCTAGACATTATTTTCCACAGCCACCTCTTCTCAAGGATTTCAAGGTGTTTCCAGACCAACTAAGTGGCATAGCCTGCCTCCAGTGTGTCCTGGGTCTTCTACAGGATCTCCTCTCAGTTGGACATACCCAGAACTCCCCCCAGAGAGGCATCCAGTAAGCATCCTTACCAGTTGTCCAAACCACCTATGACTCCTCTGGATATGGAGGAGCAGAGAAGTTCTCACCCTATCTCTCACCTCTTAACTCAAGTGTCCAAAACATTTGTTAGCAGATCTGATGACATGACTACAAAATCTATCACTGATCTGCAGCAGAGGGAGTCCTGGTGCCGTGCACACTTATGGACACCATTATGCTCAAACATTGTGAACCGACTGTGACTGGTACAGATGCCTATAACCAAACACCAGATCAGAGAGGCTGTTCCTCCCAATCACACACCTCTAGGTTTGCTGCCCTCATGGTCATTTCAGCAGCCCTGCAGAATAATGGGAGTCCCCAGTTGAAGCACCCTCCAGCACTTCGGCTAAGGACTCCAAGAAGGCTGAACACTGAACTGCCAATTGGTTCACAGGTACAAACATCAACCATCCCCTGATTCCAAGGTGCAGGGAAGCTACCTTTTTATCACTGAAAACTCCAACACAGGTGCTGCAGGGCTAAAAGCAGACCCACACCGGTTTGGTGTGTCTCATCATGGACAACTCCAGCACCTCTCAGGAGAATGGTTCCAGAGCCTTCACTGTGCAACAACTAAGGGAAGCCCGAGTACCTCGCACACGCTCAGGCTCCTTCATCACCAGAAAGGTCCGTGTCCCAAGAGTCGGCTTTGGTAAAGAGGACCAAGCCCCCACCTTCAGCTGCTGCCTCTGACACATACTAATACTATTATAGTTTAAAACAACCACATCTGCAACAAAGTGATTTACACGTAGGCCTAAAATAAAATAAAAAAACACTATGAAGCATAAAGAAGAATAGGTAAAACAATAAGATCAGTAAAAACAATAAAACAAGTGTGAAATTAAATGAAGCAAGTCTCCGGATGTGCCAATAAAGACCTGGGATAATATTAATAATGTGTTTTAAGAAGAGTTTAAACAGTGACCAGTAAAGGGCTCACCTGATGTGAAGTGGGAGATTGTTCCATATTCTTGAAGCAGCAACAGAAAAAGCTCCGTCCCCTCTGATCCTCTGTTTGGACCTGGCACCTCCAGGAGCAGCTGATCAGCTGACCAGAACTGAATTAGTTCAGGTGGAGCAGCTCAGAGAGGTAAGATGGAGCAAGACCATTTAAACTTTTAAAAACAAATACAAATATAATCTTAAAATGAACAGGCCAGTGGTGCAAAGAGCCGGGTTGATTAAAAATATTAAACAATATTTTACAAGCGTGTTTGAAGGCTGCTTGTGAAATATGTAAACTATTACCCCAAGGCTGCTCGTACTTTAATACCCCAAGGTCCTTGGGTCGTGGAGGAGGTTTGGCGATTATTTATAAATCAAGTTTCGACTGTAAGCAACTGTCCCTCCCGACTGTTTTCTACCTTTGAACTGAGCATGTTTGAGTTGGGCTGCGCTCCTCCTCTTCTGTGCGCCGTCATCTACCGGCCTCCTAAGTATAATAAGTGGTGCCTAGACACTTAGAGACAGTAATCCACACTTTTATTACTTCACGCCTGGGTTGTTGTAACTCTCTTTTGATTGGAGTTAGCCAGGCCTCGCTCTCACGGTTACAGCTGGTACAAAATGCTGCTGCACGATTTTTGACTGGTACAGGCAGGCGTGAGCACATCACCCCAGTTCGGATGTCCCTTCACTGGCTTCCTGTCCAGTTTTGAATCCATTTTAAAGTTCTGTTTGTTTTTAAGTCTTTGAACAGTATTAGTCCCTCTTATTTGTCTGAACTGCCTCACTTTTACATACCATCACGTGCGCTTAGATCCTCTGACCAGATGCTTTTAGCAGTCCTGAAAATCTTTTATAAATGCAGAGGAGACAGAGCTTTTTCAGCTCTGGCTCCTACAGTAAATTGTGGAATGAGCTGCCGCTGGAGGTCAGGCAGGCCCCGTCAATCTCTGTTTTTATAACACGTTTAAAAACACGTTTTTTTCCATTGGCTTTTAACCTAGAGTGAGTTAGCATCTCTGTCTTAATGTTGTGTTCTTTTACTTGTGATGTTCTGATTATTTTTTTATATATATATTTAGTTGTTTTTATGGTTTTACTGTCTTTTGTTTGTTTTTATTTTTTTTGTGCACCACTTCGGACGGCTGCTATGTTGTATTTTAAGTGCTTTAGAAATAAATTGGTATGGTATTATTACGACCGCTATCACTATAAAAGTTTTCATACATAAATATGTTAATAACTGTGGACACATTTTTATGAATTAAAAGAAAATAGTACTGTGACTGTGATAAAACTACACATAAACAGTAAACAATCAATTCACAGAATTTGGGTAAAACATGCATCCCTGGACATCATCCAGTCAGACTTGCTCCGTCTCAAACTTGTCCTAAATGCCGACAAAACCAAAGGGATGCTTTTTTCAAACAGGAAGTTGGTCCCAGCAGTTCTTCCTCTGATTTTATCCTCAAATGGTGCTCATATTGAGTTTGTCGATTCCTACAAATATTTGGGTATCTTGGTTGATTCACATTTCTCTTTTAAGCTCCATGTGTAGGGAAACTGAAAGTTAAACTGGGTTTCTTTTTCAGAAACAGATCCTGTCTAACTCTGAATGCTAGGAAACACCTTGTAACTGCGACTTTCCTTCCCTCCATTGATTACGGTGACATTACTTACATGAACGGCTCTACAAGACCTTGCAGATGTTGGATGCTGCCTATCATGGTGCGCTAAGATTCATAAATGCTTTAACTACCATACACATCATTGCACCCAGATTCACTAATTGGTCATCATACACTTCACATAGACTCTCTCACTAGTACATTTTCATTTTTAAATCACTTCTTGGTCTGCTGCCTTCATACATCTCCTCCTACATGTCACTGTGTGAGTGCAGCTACAGCGTGCGCTCTCAGGACATTATTACCTGCAGTGTTCCCTCAGTGTGAACTGAACTTGGCAAAAGGGCCTTCTCCTACTCCGCTCCTGTTTCCTGGAATATCTTGCTAAAATATCTGAAGCTCTCGACCTTGACCTCTCTAAGGGACTTTAAACATCTGTTAAGTTGCTGACAAAAACAAATGCAGACATGTTCCTGTTTTTAGTTTTCTACATCGCCTTATAACCTAGCTTTTTTTTTGTTGTTGTTAATTTTCCTTTTAAATACTATTTTATTTTCACTTGTTTAAAAAATTTTTCAATTTGTTCGCATCCTTTATGATTATCTATTATTGTCTTCTTGTCCACTGTTGTCATCACTCTGTTAAAATCAGGTCAGTCACCGAGACTCAATGGGATTAACCTGTATAAATAAAGGTTGAATGAATCCCATTAAATTTAATCAAAGCAAAACACCGAATTGTGGCTTGAGACCACAATGTACTAGCAGTCTTAAAAAGGAAGATGAATACCGGTGACTCAAACTGTTTTGAGAAAAAAAAAAAAAAAAAAGAACTCTACTTTTCAGTAAACAAAGTCCATGCTCAATCACTTCCGTCCTGCTGCTTGTCGCGCATGCGCAGAATGTAAACTAGCTGGCTCTTTGAAACCGGCAATGACTGCGCATGCGCAGTATCGTTAGCACTCAAAGTACCAATCTAGCTAACACACTTCATCTGGCGTTGGCTAAGAACATTTAAGCCAGTATAACACAAAATATGACTCCTTAAATGTGAACTGAGAGGTACACAATAAAGCGAGTAACTGACAACGTATCAGGCATAGGTATGTTCACAGGTTTAATTGAGATTTTTACTAAAACCAGTTGACTGCGTGCTCTTTCTGTTAGCTTGTCTTGCTAGCGATCGCAATTTTCATACATTTGTTTTCTGAAGCTGTTTAGCTGTTTTCCTTTGTTAAAACACACTTCGGCTATACGAGCAAAACAGGTAAAAATAAAACTAATGGGAACTTTTACGCCAGTTATTATTCTGTTATTCTTGAGGCATGTTATCATTTACATGAAATATACATTTGCGGCTAATTTGTTGCAAATCTCAGCATGTCAACACAGAAGGATGTTCAAATGAAACACATCCGTAAAATAAAGTTTTTTTTAATATTAGGTAATAGTTTCTGCATTCATTAAAAGGTTATAATATAGTTTAACACTGCCTCTCCAGCCCAGTTTAATTTGCTGGAAGACTTTAAAAGGTGGTGCTGACATGTTTGTTGTCTCCTGTCAGATGCAGAGGGCAGCCTTCCAACATGTATGCTGTGTACAGACAAGCCCACACCCCCACTGCTGTGGAGTTTTCTGTCTACTGCAACTTTATATCCGACAAGGAGAAAAATCTAGTCATCGCTGGAACGTCTCAGCTCTACGTCTACAGGATCAGCCATGATGTGGAGGTCGGTTCTGTGCGCTAATGTTGTAAATCAGACTCTGAACGTTATGTATGTAACATTTGTGTTATTATTTCAGAGTACGTCAAAGACTGACAAGTTGTCCGGTACGTCCAGGCATCTAACTCGAATCATACTTCATGATTGAAGAAATAACAGTCGTACGTTTGGTGACACTTGACTATCTTCTTGCAGATACCAAAACCCGTAGAGATAAGCTGGAGCAGGTGGCATCGTTTTCTCTCTTTGGCAATGTGATGTCAATGGCCAGTGTGCAGCTTATAGGTTCCAGCAGAGATGCACTCCTTCTAAGTTTCAAAGATGCCAAGGTATTGCTGTGCAACATGGACACTGCTCAAACAAACGAGTTGATTTTCACTGATCTGTGCGTGTGTTTACTGTCACCAGTTGTCTGTAGTCGAGTATGATCCTGGGACACATGACCTCAAGACGTTGTCTCTGCATTACTTTGAGGAGCCAGAGCTCAGAGTATGTAGGAGTGAAAAACAAAACGCTGTAAATGTTGAGATCCAAATAAGATGTTGTCCAACTGGTACTCTGTTTTATTTTAGGATGGCTTTGTACAAAATGTACATATCCCAATCGTCCGCGTAGATCCAGAGAATCGCTGTGCTGTGATGCTTGTTTATGGCACCAAGCTGGTGGTGCTGCCATTTCGAAAGGACACGCTGACTGATGAGCAGGAAGGTGGAGTGGGAGAAGGGTATGACTGATCTTCAGTACTGTGTCCCTCAGAGCTTGTCTGCTTCTGTTCTGTTTCGAGTTTAAACTAATATAGAATCTTGTTTGCAGACCTAAATCCAGCTTCCTACCCAGTTACATCGTAGATGTTCGCGAGTTAGATGAGAAGCTATTGAACATCATCGACATGAAGTTCCTCCATGGTTACTATGAACCCACGTTGCTAATTCTGTTTGAGCCCAACCAGACGTGGCCTGGGTGAGTCCCTGTTGTCACCAGGCATAACAAAATGCTGATGTGCTTAACACGAGTTTTTACCTCCTCTGGTGTATTATTTATTCATTTATTAATTTATTTTTAGCCGCGTGGCTGTTCGTCAGGACACCTGCAGCATCGTTGCACTCTCTCTTAACATCATGCAGAAAGTTCATCCTGTCATCTGGTCTCTCAGTAATCTGCCTTTCGACTGCACGCAGGTCATGCCTGTCCCCAAACCCATCGGTGAGTTCAGGGAACCCTATTTTTCTCACCAGCGTGGTCACGTACACTACACTGGCTTGTATTAACCCCCTTTAGTAACGTTGCCTTACAAACTGGAATTTGAATGGTTTTAATTATATTTATGGGCAATAATTATACAAAAAAACTTCAGATTAATGATGGGAAATGGGTGTGTGTGTGTGTGTGTGTGTGGGGGGGGGTTAAATAACTCAACAAAATATAAAAATGAAAAGTGGTGTTTGCATATGTGTTTACCCCCTTTGCTTTGAAGCCCCATTCATTCTGGTCAAAATCCACAATCAGTTACTAAGATCCACCTGGGGACAACCTGAAGTGTTAGATGATCAGTAAATGTCCACTTCTCCCCAGAATCAACACATATCTCTGTAGTAAGGGCTACCACCATGCAAGAGACATCATGAAGACCAAGGATCTCTCCACACAGGTCTGAAACAGAGATATGGAGAAGTACAGATCAGGTTTAGTTTAGATTAAAAATAAATCTTAATCTTGAATATTCCCCAGAGCTCCATTAAGTTCATTTCTAGAAAATGGACAGATGATGCCTCTGCAGCAAAACTACCAAGAAAGAGTTGTCCACCAAAATGCACAGACAGGGCAAAGTGGACATTTTTTCAGAGAAGCAAGAAAGGGATCAAAGATAAACCTCAGAGCTGGACAGCTCTTCAGCAGAGATGGGACTAAACGTTCACGTGTCCACTTTAAGCTGCACAGAGTCAGGCTTCATCCAGGAGTGCTGGGAGAAGTTACTGCTTTAACAAAGGACCAAAAGTCAAGTTCTCCAAATGTAGATGGTGGTGTCAGACAATAAAATTAAACCGTTGGAAACTGAATTAAACAAAATAGAAATATATTTGAAGAAAGTCGGTTTGTGTCTTCCAGAGATGTGAGACAGGAATGGAGGCTCACAACCAGCAGGACAATGACTAAACACAGCAGCTCTCCAGTAGGTTAAGGAGAAGTTGGTTTAAAGAGTGTTGGACACAAGCAGCACTCATCCATCCACTGCAGCTGGTTCGTCAAAATATACACAAGCCTGCAGATTTTCAGTCTGTTAAAATATTCAGGAACATTTCTCCTGTTTAATTTCAGTCATCTACAGTGTTTTGTTTAGGTTTATTACTTATTAATTTAAAATCTAGGGATGCATGATATTGGATTTTTGGCCTATATCTGGTATGCCGATATGTTAAAACTTATTTAGCTGATACCGATATTTTATATACGTTCCTTTGTCAGAACATAGCCCTCTTATTTTATCTTATTTGCTACAAGAATTGTGTAAGAGCTGGTGACATATATTCAGTAACAGCCATGTGTCATAGCACTTTGACTTATATTAAATGAAAAGTGTTAAATAATATTTATTAGCATTAGTCACCTGTGATACTCTCTCACTTGTGGAGCTTGTTCCAGGTTCCTGGCTGCAGTGTGGGATCCTCTGCACTCCTGTGCATGAAGGACAGACTTTTTAAGTTCCAAGTTTTTGTCTCTCCATTGCGCCGTAAGACTAATCATGCTAACGGGGCTAACACGACGTCCAAACGTCTGGTAAAACTCACCCAAGTGTTATTGGCTATTAGCTTCTCAATGACGTCGGAAACGACAGCTTGTAACTCGGGTAACGTTACGCCAGATAAAAATATCTCTGACTGAGGGCGATGTAGCGAGGTTCAACGTAGTCCAAAAATCTTCAGAATGACAATCCTCATCAATGGAAAAAAACCTTCCACATGCCGACATTTTGAATTTTCCTCTCTGCCGGGGTCAGATCAGGTAGGAGCACATGACGTCATCATGTTGTGCTGCTGCAGGCTTCCTTGTTACTGGGTTGACATACAAAAACAGTATCTTTTATATCAGGGAGTTATTTTTGATGGAATGGCCGATGTCCAATATTTAACTTTAACGCTAATATCGGCAACACCCGATGCCATGCTGATAATATTGTGCATCCCTACTAAAATCCTATTTAAATTCCATCTTCTAAGGCAATAAAATGGAAACCATAGTTCAAGGGGTGGATACTTTTACAACCCACTGAATCAAACGTCCTGCGGGTTCTGATCAGGTGTGTGTTTTTAGGTGGCGTGGTGGTGTTTGCTGTGAACTCGTTGCTGTATCTGAACCAAAGTGTTCCACCGTACGGAGTTTCTCTAAACTCGATGACAAACGGGACCACGTCCTTCCCTCTGCGTAAGCACCGTCTTGTTAAAATGCTTGTTTTTTTTTAACACGAGGCACATTCTCTCTCAGGTTTTTGTGATGATGTGTTCTCACTGTGCAGGTATTCAGGAAGAAGTGATGATCACGCTAGATTGTTGTCAGTCTGACTTTATTGCTTATGACAAGATGGTCATCTCACTGAAAGGAGGAGAGATGTGAGTTCCTACAGTAACCTGCAGAATGACGCCAATGATTTTTAAAATTATTCTCACTGACTGTTGCCTTGCAGTTATGTCCTGACGCTCATAACAGACGGCATGAGGAGCGTGCGTGCTTTTCACTTTGATAAAGCTGCAGCGAGTGTCCTGACAACCTGCGTAAGTTCCAGCTGAGCAGCAACGATCTGATGAGACCAATTCTCTGAAAGTAATACGGTTATTTAAAACAAAAGATTTGTTCACTCATCCTGTGAAGATGCTGGAAACTCTTGCACTTGTTTGTTGTGAGAAGGTTCAAGCAAGTTTATAATTTACCGTTCAGTGTTTCTCAGTGCGTTTTGAAAAATGTCCCAACTTTTCTGGAGTTCTTGTTGGAGTGTGCCCTCCTCACATTCCTCTCGTTCAGATGGTGACCATGGAGCCTGGCTTCCTGTTCCTCGGTTCCCGCCTCGGGAACTCGCTGCTCCTGAAGTACACGGAGAAACTGCAGGAGACGCAGATCGAGGAAGGCAAAGAGAAGCAGGAGAAGGAGTCGTCAGAGAAGCAGGCAAGTTTGTGTTGTGACTAGGGCATTAACCGAGTACTCGAGTAATTACACATCGATTGCTAGGACATCTGTCGAGGTTAAACATGTAACGTCGAGTATCCGTAGTGACGTCATATTATGTGACCACCGTATGACCGTAGGGGGCGGTGTTGCACTGTTGCAGGTCACAGAGTATGATGTAACACCGGGTCCAATCCACTGAACCAGAACCAGCTTCCTCTGACCTTGCTTCACAAACAAAAAGCAAAAAATATTAATCTCTAAACCTATAAAAAAAATCTATAAACATATTAATCTCTAAAATTAAACTTAATGCGCATCACAGGTGGTGCTGGGTGGTCGACCCCCCACCCCACTGTTTTAAGTTTCGTTTTTGACGTGCTGCGTTTCTTCACGTTTGCAGTTTAATAATAATAACTAATAGTTTTGTTTTGCCTGTGACTTATTTGCAGTATGATAAATGGTAGGAGCATAATATACGCTCCCAATGTTTTGTTGGTCTTTTTTTTTTTGTAAATAATTACCTTTTTTTGCGGGTTTTATTTCTTTATTTATTTTTGTATCTTGAGATCTATGACATCATCAAATACTCGAGTTCTACTCGGGTTTTATTATGTTAATGTCGAGTTTAAAAATTATATACTCGTTCAACCCCTAGTTGTGACTGCAGACTGAACTTTGAGTCATGCACAAAACCAAGTCCACCACCGTTAAACTCTGAGGCTTTACGTGCTAGGATATAAAACGGTTTGGTCTGTACCAGGTTCCAACATTATTCAAGTCTAATCTCAAGTGAACTCACAACAGAGTCCACCTTTTCATTATTAATTAAACAAAAACTAAACCACAAAGGAAAAGTTGTGTGAAAAACTAAGTCCGTCCCCAGAACCAGCAGCTTGTAGAACCTCCTGCAGCAGCAACAACTCTGCTGTGGTTTCCTGTAGTCTCACATGGCTGTGGAGGATCTTTGTCCCACTCTTCTTTCCAGCGCAGCTTCAGCTCTTTGAGGTTTGCAGACGTTCTGCTCTCTGAAGGTCCAGCACAGCAGGTCACTCAGGTGGAGGTTCTGGACTTTAACTGGACCGTTGCAGCTCCTTGATTCCTCTTCTTTAATTTCAGCTGTTCTGTAGTTTAGCTGCTGTGTTTGAATCATTGTTCTGTTGTATCTTGACCCAGTCTGGTCCAAGCTCCAGCTGTTGGACAGATGTCCTGACATCTGTCCAGGGTTTCCCCTTAGATAACTTGCCATTGCGGGGAGCTCATCTCGTCCGTGATTTTTGTTGACCGAGTGCAGGGGAGAGACAACGACACATCTGTGCTGCACGCTGTTTTTACCGACAGTTTTCGTGTGTGTGTGTGTGTGTGTGTGTGTGTGTGTGGGGGGGGGTGTTCAGTGTGAGGGAACGCTGCATTTAACTTTTTAGCTAGCATGCCTGTATTGTGCGCCACTAGCTTAGCACTAGGTCACTGGGTGTGGGGGGGGCACAGTTAAGTCCGGTAGGGAGGGCGCTCGGTTCCGTTGATGGGGCGGGGCGCCCTGCTTGTATAATGTTAGGGGAAACACATCTGTCTGTAGAATTTATTGGTCCACAGAAGAGTTCACGATGTTCTCAATGACTGCAAGGAGCCCAAACCATCATCCCTCCACCACCGTGCTGACAGCTGCTAGGAGCCGTTTGGTTTTCAGCATACATGCTGCTGTGCATTATGGGTAAACATCTGTACTTTGTCTTGTCTTGTTCCAGAAGTCTTGTGGTTCATTCAGATGAAACTTTACAAACTCAGTCGAGCAGCCTTGTTGGTTTTAGACAGAAGAAGTTTGTCCTGCAGCTCTTCAAGACAAACCAGACATGTTCAGACTACTTTTTTTTATTGTCCTGTCATGACCTTTTACCTCCTGATTAAGGCCTGTAGAGTCTGAGATAGAGCTATCATGTGGCTTGCAATTTTTCTGATCATTACACAGTCTGACCTCAGGGTGAATTCACTGGGACGTCCACTCAAGGGAAGTCTAGCAGCTGTTCAAGATTCTTTTTTTTGCAGCAGGATGATGAACTTTAAATTGTTTGTAAATGTCATTTACCTCTTCCCAAATTGATAAGAATTAACAGTTGCTTCTCTAAGGTCATTGCTGATGTCTTTTCGACTTGGCGTTGTGTTAGACCACACACCTGTGTGCTCCTGAACAGCAAACTGACAAAACTCCTGCTTTTACAGGTGATCAATTACATCATGTGATCAGCAGCACGTGGATGATGTTATAATCTGTTGTGACTTTCGTAGCTTTAGAGTTAGATCTAAATATCACAGAGTGAGGAGGAAACTGTTGCAACACGTCACATTTTAAAGCTCATATAAAGAGTTCGTTAGAGTTTGCTGGTTTGAAGTGTTAACACGTGGCTTCTTCAAACTTCCAGGAGGAACCGCCCAACAAGAAGAAGCGTGTAGAGTCTTCCACCAACTGGACTGGTACGTGCACTGTCTGCTGCCACAGGGCTGTGTTGTAGGAGCTGCTCTGGTTTATGTCCCACCTGTTGTTTTGTCAGATGAGGTGGATGAGATCGAGGTGTATGGTAGTGAGGCCCAGTCAGGCACTCAGTTGGCCACCTACTCCTTTGAGGTGAGAAAACGTTTCGGTCTTGCATTTCTTCTGTACCATATTTTCCGGCGTATAAGTTGCAGGTTTTTTTGCATAATTTGCATGTCCTGCGACTTAGTTGTTTTTTCCTCCAATATTTATAAACCAATTTTTGGTTGAGATATAACAGTTTTCATTCATTCTGACTGAAAATATTGAACACTACCATTTTCAGCCGGTAGATGGCACTCGAGTAGTATGGCATGCTGTTGTGTCATGTAATAGGTCCAAAAAAAAAACAAAAAAAAAAAGGTAACGTTTCATTTAAACGTTACAAATGAAATCCAGTTGTTTTGTTTATAACCTTTTTTTGGATTTACCATGTCCTGGATGACTGAGAATCTTCACCAGCGTCATGTAAAGGTAAAAGTGGCTATTAATGACACAATCGGCCTGCCACCTTCCTCCAGCTCGCCTGGAGCAACCGTCAATCAGCTTCATTTCACTGCACCGCCCCGTCAAAATGCCCCTAATTTGACCATTGAAGTGCATTTATTAAGTAAAAGTTCAACTGAGACACACCTTTGCTATAATGTCGAGCAAACAAACAATTGTTTTTATGTGTTTATTGTGTTAAATTCTTGTTAAAGTCTTCCTGAGTGAGCACCCGTGGCCGCCATTTTGGTTGAAAAGCGATTTTTGGCACAACATCAGCCCACGTTTCTGGGTGGTCCGCTGTGACACACAACAAACTTGATGCATCAGCGGTGACGCATAATATATGCGACTTATTTATGTTTTTTTTTCCCACTTTATTGGAAATATTTGGACTGATGCGACTTATACGGTGGAAAGTGCGGTAGTTACGTGTTTAATGTGTCTTCTTGTCTTGCAGGTATGTGACAGCATTCTGAACATCGGACCCTGTTCAAATGCCTCCATGGGCGAGCCTGCCTTCCTGTCTGAAGAGGTACATACACACTTAAAACACTTTTAGTGGCTTATTTTTGAACGATTTTCAGGGTTGTTTGAAACCTCTGCTGGAATTTTATTTCCCCAACAGTTTCAGAACAACCCAGAGCCGGACCTGGAGGTGGTGGTGTGCTCTGGTTATGGTAAAAATGGTGCACTGGCTGTCCTCCAGGTATGTAGATTCCAAGTTGACGTGTTTACAGATTGTAGCACGCTTGAATGTTGCTGCGGCACCATCTGAACACGTGTGGTGGCAAACGAGTTCAGTGATGGTGGGCTGACCAGGGCTGTAAACAGCAGCGCCACACTGGAGTTCTCTCAGTTTTCTGTTTTTATTCTTACCTTAGAGGAGCATTCGGCCCCAAGTAGTCACAACGTTTGAGTTGCCTGGTTGCCATGACATGTGGACTGTCATCGCAAAGGACGTCAAGAAAGACAAAAAAGTACAAACAGTTTTTACTTCATAAATTCAAGCTTGTAGGTTTTTTTGTGTCACATTTTATGGTATTACTTTTGTCTGCTCCTTTAGGAAACTTCAAAAAGCGATGAGTCAGAGGATGGAGCAAAGAATGAGACTGAGGAGGAGGAGGAGGAGGTAGAGCGGGTAGAGGAAGAGAAGGACAAGGAGGAAGTGGAGAAAGAGGAGGAGAAGACAGACTCTCCTCTGGAAGATGATGCAAAGAAGCACGGCTTCCTCATCCTGAGCAGAGAAGATTCGACCATGGTATGACGTCTTTGTTTCTGGTGACGCAGATTATTTTATTACATACTTGGGTCAGCAAAAAGACTAGAGAGTGGTTAAAGGAATAGTTCGAGCATTTTGAAGTGGGCCGCTGTAAAACTGTTGTACAAAGGTCTTTGGATGTCCGTGGTTTGGAGAAACAGTTTGTCAGGTAGGATGAGCTAACGCTAGCCCAGCTGAGATCAGAGTCAATTGTTTCCATCTTAAAATGACTCCAGTGTTTCCCCTACCATTATTCAAGGAGGGTGCCCCGCCCTGTCAACACAACAGAGCGCCCCGCCTACCAACCCCCTTTTTTGAATTTGTCATTATAGCCACGTTTACCCATTACATGATACAACAGCATGCCATATTGCTATTACTACTCTGCTGCCGTCAAGTGGCTGAAAGTGGTACTGCTCAGTTTTTTTTCCCAGTCAGAATGAACGAGAACGGTCATATCTCAGCCAAAAAATGGTTTATAAATATGGGGAAAAAATCCATAAATATGTCGCTTCGGCCTATAAGTCACAGGGCATGTAAATTGTGAAAAAACCTGTGACTTATAGGCCGAAAAATAAAGTATATACCCTAATTTCCAGACTATTGCGCGCACTTAAATATAAGCCATGCCTACTATATATATATATATATATATATATATATATATATATATATATATATATATATATATATGTACATATACTGTATAGGCCGCACTTGTTTATAAGTCGCGGGTGTCCACGTTGTAACTTTTTAAAACTTTTAATTAAATATGTACCAGTAACATACACAAATACATACAGTAAATGTTTTTTCTGAACAGTGCCTGTAACACGGCTGGTAAAAAAAAATAAAAAACACAGTAGCCTACCAGGAAGTCATCGATCGCTGTCTTCATCTTCCTCCTGCACCCTTTTGAGCTTGTGAAATCCTCTTCATCACGCAGCTTCCTTTTAAAACCCGTTGGTGATAGAGGATGTTTTTTACTTCTCCACTGGCGGACTTGAGTTAAAGTTGCTCTTCGCATGCAGCCAGTTTTAATAAACGATTTCTCACCGCCAGTCATCCAAGCCTCCCACCAGGCTCGCCGTGCCACATTAGTGCATAATTCACACTTATTTAGAGTGGCTGCAAATACTTTGTTGTTTCCCCCCTCCCCAGTAGACCAATGAAACCAAGTTTTATTTGTCCACTGTGACCTGTTCGGTAATTTTACTGGTCCGATTTTTTTTTTTTACCTTTTATTTATACAGGTAGTCTCCTTGAGTCACGAAGCCTCACCCTGCAAGAGAGACGTGTATTGGGCAGCTATACTTGCGCCCGGGCGTGACGAAGCTAAATGTTTTGGTGGCAGGAAGCTTGTTAGCACATCAAAATAACAAATAAAAAAATCCATAAATTAGCCACAGCATTGTATAAGCCATGGTTGTTCAAAGAGTGTGAAAAAAGTAGTGACTTATAGTCCAGAAATTATGGTAATTATTTTATTGTATATAATAAGCATATTGCAATATTCTGCAGCTGTAACAATAACCAAACAATGAAACACACCTTAAAGTACCTCACAGTTTAAATCCAACTTTTGTTTCTGAAGAACTGGATAACTTAAATCATCTCATTAATTCAGTCTTGGAGGAAATCAAAACTCATTGAGGTTTTGATTTACAGATACTTGATTCAACTCGTGTAGTTTGAATTGTTTTACTGCTGTGATGTGGAGGCAGCATCCCCTCTCCAAGGCAGCAGATCACTTTAGTCTTAGCTAGTGGTGTCCCGATACAGATACTGGTATACCACCAGTCTTATTTGTGTTTCGACTCTGTTTCTTCAGACTGAGGCCATCCATGAAGCCGTCTAACACTTCTAAGATATTACTTTGAACTTTTTCACTGAACCCCATATCAAAATGGCCAAACTATTCCTTTAAATGAATCAAACAGCACCCACATCAATGCATATTTTGCTGTAGATCCTTCAGACGGGTCAGGAGATCATGGAGCTGGACACCAGTGGGTTTGCCACTCAGGGGCCCACAGTGTTTGCTGGAAACATTGGAGATAACAAGTACATCATCCAGGTCTCCCCCATGGGCCTTCGACTTCTAGAAGGAGGTAAATTAACAGTTAATCTCTGCAAAAGGAGAGAATTCACATGTAAATATTTACACGTGTAGAAGTGATAAAGTCTTCTCACACTGCCAGTTGACAGACAGGTGAATGTAATTCTGTCTGCAGCCGTTTCATGTTGGTGTTTTGTATAAATTGTGCTTTCAGTGAAGCAGCTTCACTTCATTCCGATGGATCTGGGCTCTCCCATAGTGCATTGCTCCGTGGCAGACCCTTATGTGATTATCATGACCGCTGAAGGAGCGGTCACCATGTTTGTGCTGAAGAGCGACTCGTACATGGGCAAAACACACCGGCTGTCTCTGCAGAAGCCTCAGATTTCCACAGTGAGTGAAACGCGCCGCTCCACAGACCCTGCTCACTAAACTAAAGCCCAGCCCAGACTGGAAATACCTGATTGAACTAAACATCCTGACTGTGTTACAGCAATAAACTGTTCAGTGCCTCTTTATCCAACAGCAATCTCGTGTGATCGCGTTGTGTGCGTACCGAGACGTGAGCGGCATGTTCACGACGGAAAACAAGGTGAGCTGCTCCGACACGGACGGTGGCGTCAGCAGGAGTCAGTCAGAGACGGAGACGGTCTACCAGGACATCAGGTAGGAATTCACCTTCCGTCAGTTTCCCAACACAGACAGAATCAAACAGCAGGCGTTATGATTCTGTTTGAACAGCAACACTGTTGATGATGAGGAGGAGATGCTGTACGGAGACTCCACCACCAGCTCTGCCAAAGAGGAAATGAGCCACAGCTCAGCGGCTGCAGCTGCTCCTGCGAGCGAGGGCGGCCAGAGCAAGACAGAGCCCTCCCACTGGTGTGTGATCATCAGGGAGAATGGAGTGATGGAGGTACGTGTGTGTACTTTGTGTTGGCATGGACCCAGAGACTGTTTTAATGAGGAAACTCAGTGTTTATCTGGCCTGTGCAGCTTGTACAGTGGGCTTCAAAGGTATTCACCCCCCCCCCCCCCCATGCTCTCTAAAATGTATGGTGAAAACCAAATGGCTCTTAGCAGCTGTCAGCACGGTGGTGGAGGGATGATGGTTTGGGCTCCTTGCAGTCATTGAGTCCATCATGAACTCCTCTTTGGACAAATAAATTCTACTGACAGATGTGAGGACACCTGTCCAACAGCTGGAGCTTGGACCAAGCAGAGACTGATAAAGATATGGCTCTAAATGAAATTGTATATTTATTGCTGCTAAACGAGGCTCTACTATAAATTGTAAAAGACAAACGATAACAAGATCTAAGATATGAACCAAGAAATATGCTAAACACTTAATAGTGTAAAAACAGTAAGTCCTAATAAAGTCCTGAAGTTGAAAGGAGGACTTTCTTTTCTCTGACTTTACTGCATGTGGAGTGTTGCCCTTATTAATCGATCACCCTACAAATAAATCCACAGGGGCGACGTAGAGAGATTACTTATTAACATACATGTAACATTATTAGCTATATGATTTTCCTTAACTATGTTTTATTTAAGCTCTGTAGCATTTGAACCTGGACCAGCTGGAAGTTTAAAGCCCGTCTTCATTCTGCTCCATAGGATTGGCTGCAGTTTATTTGAGGAGCTGTAAATATAAATTAATCTAATCTTGAATCTTTATTAGCACATTATATTAGGAGCCGCTCTCAGGATCCAGAAACCATCTTAGCACTGTCAAACTGGTTGACCGGTAGTACGGAGTTGTGGCTCCTCGGACTGATGAAGTCTTTTGGATAAAAGACGAAACGTTTCAACAAAAATAAACCGTCCAGAGGACCTGACTTTACTTTGTTAGATTTCTTTACCTGGATTATTGAGCATGAACTTCAGTAAAGATTTACCTTAGTTATGTTCGGCTTCTCACTGGTCTGATAATGACGTACTGGTTTTTGTACTTCATGTGTAAAAAACAGTATTCATTCACATGAGAAGTAAAATTGGATATACTGTAATAAGTTGCAGCTAGTCTCTGAAAAGGGCTGACGTCTTTATTTTTACTATCTTTAATCAACAGATCTACCAGCTGCCTGACTGGAGATTGGTGTTTCTGGTGAAAAACTTCCCTGTAGGTCAAAGAGTTCTGGTGGACAGCTCGTCTGGTCAGTCGGCAACACAAGGAGACGGGAAGAAAGAAGAAGTCGCCCGACAGGGAGAGTTCCCTTTAGTCAAAGAGGTCGCTCTGGTTTCTTTGGGCAACAACTGCAGCAGACCATATTTACTGGTGAGGGTTTTTCTTCCAGCTCTCAGTTTGGATTAGAATTTCAGTTGAAACTATGAATTCACTGAAAACCATTTCTTGTTTTCAAGGTCTATGTGGAGAACGAGCTGCTGATCTACGAAGCGTTCCCTTACGATCAACAGCAGCCGCAGAACAACCTGAAGGTCCGCTTCAAAAAGGTACAAGGCAGAGAGGATGAAAACAAAGCTCGTCAAATCAGCTTCAAATCCATTTTAACAATCGTTCCGTTTCCTAAACAGATCCACAACAACATTAACTTCAGAGAGAAGAAGTCGAAGCCTAGGAGAGACAAGAAGGCAGAAGGTGGTCCTGAGGAAGCCCCACCAGTGAAAAGCAGGATCGCCAGGTTCAGATACTTTGAGGACATCTCCGGGTACTCGGGGGTATGACGCTCGTTTCTGAATAATCGAGAGTTTGACTCCAGAGGCGTCTTTGCCCTTACTCTGTCTGCATCCTTGTTGGGACAGGTGTTTATCTGTGGCCCGTCGCCACACTGGATGCTGGTCACCTCACGAGGAGCACTGAGGCTTCATCCCATGTCTATCGACGGGCCCATCGAGTCCTTCTCTCCATTTCACAACATCAATTGTCCTAAAGGCTTCCTGTACTTCAACAAGCAGGTACTATACACAGGACTTTTCATTCTTTGGTTTATTCACGAGGCCTTTTAAAGTAGAATGAATAATAAAACCAACATATATAAATGTAATCCACCCACCCCTATCATTTGACCAAATTCAGGTCAACACAAGGTCAGTGCAGGTCAACACAAGGTCAACAATGCAATGAAATGCTCAAGACGAGAAGAACCATCTCGACTCACCAAAAAAAAACACACCAAGGAATACCAAAACATGCAAAAATACAAAAGCAAGGCATCAAAAGTGAAAAAAAAATAAATCTACAGCAGCATGGTCCTATTAACAGAGTGGTGGCACTAGCGAGGTTCTCTTAGAAACATGGTCCAGTTAGCAGCATGGTACTGTTAGCAACATGGTGCTATTAGCAGTGTGGTCCTGTTAGCAGAATGGTACTATTAGCAGTGCGGTCCTGTTAGCAGAATGGTACTGTTAGCAGAATGGTGCTGTTAGCAGAATGTTGCTGTTACCAGAATGGTGCTGTTAGCAGAATGGTGCTGTTAGCAGAATGATGCTG